AGATGTGAGTGTCATACCCTCTGCCCTGACTTGGGGAGGACTTGTGTAACCCTGTGAGAGCTCTTTGTGGCAGCGCAACTTGAACTTGTCCAGGTGCGAGGACCTCCAACAGTGAGCAGGGCTAGCCACCCAGGGGGCACAGGTGAGGAGGCACAGACAGGTGAAGGCTTTCCCTCTGCTGTTCACTGAGTACTTGCTACCAGGGGAGCTGGGGCAGCATAGGCATCACCTGACTTGCGTTACCTAGGAGGAGCCTCACGGCAACCTGCTATGGGGCTGGAGTATGTTATTGCTTGTCCAGAGTAAACGCCACCTGCCCAAGGTTGCACAGAGCCTAAAGACAAGACCAGGGCTACACTCGGGGTTTTAGCTCTCCCTCCCCCCTAGCCATCTCAGGGGCCCTGGGGACCCGACGGGCACCCTGGGGTGCAGGTGGAGGCCCTAAGTGTCAGGTGGGGGCCCTGAGAGGCAGGTGAGGTTCCATGGGAGGCTGGTAGAGGCCCTGGGGGGCAGGTAGGACCCACAGCAGGTATCTATTCCTTGGGTAAGGATGAAAGGTGGAAGATGGTTCCACACGCACCCCGTTCAGTCCTGGTAAAGCCAGCACACTACCCCTTAGTCTAAGGAGCAGTCCCGGCAGGCAGAGGTGCTAGGGCCAGTAACACCTGAACAGCATGAGACAGCAGGCACAGCCCCAGGTTAGCCAAAGCCCAGCTGCCCCTCAGTAGCTTTGACCATAGGCAAGACCCCCACCTCCAGGTCACGTCCTCAATGGCAAGACAGGGCAGACTGAGGATTGGTGGGCTGAAGGGAGCCATAATACCCCACCCCTGCCCAGCTGTGAGTGCTGGGGCAGAGGCCGACTGACCTGCCCACCCCCTACCCCACTCTTGCCAGGGACTCAGCACCAGCAGAGGGCTTACAGCCTGGGCACCCAGGGGGATGGGTCCCTGGACCTCTCTGGGGCCCTAAGGTACAGAGCTCAGATCTCTGCCCAGCCAGAGGGATACAGTCCCCAAGGGTCCCAGGAAACTCAGGCCACCCTCACCTGTATATAGCTCCCCCTGCTTCTGTCCCATCACAGACTCACTGCAGCCCCCTATACCAGAGAGAGACTCCCCTCAGTTCCCTGAACCCTCAGCACCCCAAGCACCCCCGGCTGGCCTTAGCAAGCACACAGACCCAGACCAGGCCAGCTCCCCAGGAGGAGGCTGTGGGCTTGGGCCAAGGGTATTTTTCACAGCCACCAAGTTCTTCCTGAAGGCACCAGGATGAGTAGATCTCACCCCGTGGGGGGACCCTCCTCCCTCTACTTCCCATTCCTTCCCCAGCCTCCTCTCCACCTTCCTGGGGACCAGGCTTCCCCAGTGGGGCAGGAGTCCGGGAGACTGGTTCTGGCTACTGCCTTGGCCACATGCATTTCTGCCACCTGCCCACCCCAGAAGTCACACCATCCCCATAGTGCTGTCACCCATGGGCCAGTGGCCTTGTCCAGTCCCATCTCATCCCTGGGCCCCACAGGAAATGAGGGGATCCTAGCAGGGTAGCCCCAGATCCAGATACCTACAGGTCCTGCCTCAGAGCCTTTGCACCTGCTACCCTTGCCCAGTGTGCAGAGGAGTGTTCCCCCATACTCTAGGGGCCTTGAGAGGATCAGACAGGCAGGGCCTGGAGGGTGATCTGGGGCAGAGGAGCCCTGGGCCCCTCCATCCCAGCCTCCCCACTACAATGACTCCACTAGACATGACGCCCACCTTGTGTATGAGTCTGGAGCCTGCATAGACCTCTTCTGGGCCCATGGGCACTACGGGCACCCTTGGGTGGTTCCTTTATGGGCGTCAGCCCAGCCCACACAGCAGCACCAGACTGGGAAGAGCTGCCTGTTGGGCAGGTCTGGGTGGATTATCAGGAGCTGCAGCTCAGCCGCTTCTCAGCTCTTCTTGGCCAAACCTGCCAGTGGCCTGGGCCCAGGGGCACCCAGCTCAGATGTCCTACCTCTCAGGGCCCTTGGCAAGGTGAGGCCAGCACAGCTGTCCCTGGACCATGCATGGGGAAACCACCCCAGCCCCCACTCCCTCTGGCAGATGACCTGATCTCTTTGAGCCTCAGTTTCCCCATCTGGGGAGTGGGCTCCTCAGGGTTTGGTCAAGATTAGATGCTCAACTTTTTTTTTTTTTTTTTTGAGACAGAGCCTCAAGCTATCCCCCTGGGCAGAGTGCCGTGGCACCACAGCTCACAGCAACCTCCAACTCCTGGGCTCAAGCGAGTCTCTTGCCTCAGCCTCCCAAGTAGCTGGGACCACAGGCGCCCGCCACAACACCTGGCTATTTTTTTTGGTTGCAACTGTCATTCTTGTTTGGTGGCCCGGGCTGGATTCGAAGCTGCCACCTTAGGTGTATGTGGCTGGTGCCTTAGCCACTTGAGCCACAGGCGCCAAGCCTAGATGCTCAATCTTAAAGCTGACAGCGCACACAGAGAGTGCAGAAGGTGGGGCTGGAACCATCATTAGTGCTGACCATGTGACCTGTGCCCCGGCTCCAGCCCTACTCCCCTCAGCCTCCAGAATCCAGGGCTTGGTGGAAAGCCCTCCCTCACCAGGGCTCCAGCCCAGCCTCACAAGAGTCCTCACCCACCTGACAACAGTGCTACCTCTTGTCACCCCCATTCCCTTGGCAGGCTTTTGCCCTAGGCCCCATGGCTTCTCCTGGGGTCCAGATCCTGCCTCCCTGGGCAGGGGAGCCCTTCCCAGTCCCCCTCAAAGGCACCCCAACTTCCAAGAGCCCAGGATGGTAGCTCCCCCACACCTGTCATCCCCTTATGTCTGGCTCTGTGGGTGGGCGCTGTACTGCTTGGTACCCTTTCCTCCCGTGGGACATGGGACAGGCCTGCAGTGATGGGGTCTGGGGGCTCTGGTTGGAGCCATCCTGCAGAGCTGCTAGAGCACAGCCTTGGAAATGCAAATGAGGTGGGTGTCTGTCCCAGCATTGTAGGGGACTGAGGTGGGAGGATCGCTTGAGCCTAGGAGTTTGAGACCAGCCTGGGCAACACAGCAAGACTCCATCTCTTCAAAACAAATTGTTTCAATTAGCCCAGTGTGGTAGCATGCACCTGTAGTCCCAGCTACTCTGGAGGCTGAAGCAGGAGGATTGCTTGAGCCTAGAAGGTCAAGGCCACAGCGAGCTGTGATCACATCACTGCAGTCCTGGGACACAGAACAAGATCTTGTCTCAAAAAAAAGAATGAAAAAGAAATAGAAATGGGACTGTGTCCTCCCCCATGTAACCTGGTGGGGTCTGGCCACCACGGGGCCTTGGGGATGGCCTCATGTCAGTCCACAAAGGCAGTTATGGACCACGGGGGGATGTGCCGGAGTAGAGGGAAGCCAGCCACAACTCTGAGGCTGCATCCTGGGGCTGAGGGGAGGTGGGGGTGGGGCCCTACACCAAGGTCCATTCGATGCACCAGGGATCCCAAGGTAGCCTTGGCATGCATATACACATGCACACACACACACTGCCCCACCCAGGGCAGGACACAGCCCCCCTGAGTGGGGACCCAGCCCTGTGGGCAGTTCAGACCAAAGGTTTGTGTGTCACAAACACTGGCTAGCAGGCTCACAGAGACACAGCCACCTGACCAAGGGCCCAGCTAGGAGCCAGTCTTAGCCAGAGTAGGCAGGGAAAGCTAAGACAGCCCAAGGAGCTCACTCCTCCCAGCCTCCTGCCCAGATCTCTCCAAGTCACATGAAATCAGGATAGGCGGCTTGGCGCCTATGGCTCAACAGGCTAAGGCGCCAGCCACGTACACCT